GACTTAGATAATTCTCACAACGGAAGTTGGTTAATTATAATTTCGTGATTTGAGTTCAAGAACCGTACTTAAATCTGAACCCTGATTAATTGATTTATCTGCATTCTCTGATTTCCTGAGAAATACCCTGAGCCTATCTCTTTCTCATTGATTTTACAACCGTTTGATTTTATAGCTGCTGTTATTTTCATCGTTTTCACTTAGCGTAGTTCAAGCCTAGATAGTTTATTGTGCGAATCTCTCGTCTCTGTGGTTCGACCCCTATTGTACTATAATTGCATATCTGTGCTCTTGCAGAGTAGCTCTAGGGATTAAACTTTGAGCAGATCACTATGGTAGAAAGATTTCTGAGCTCAAAATGCAAATCCACAACAACAATACAAAGTCCCAAAATAGAGAGAGAGAAAGAGGAAAAGGAAAGCAACAACAACATTTTTCCATAATCCCCAAAATGAAAATGTTCTGTTTGTTTTATTAGGCCGTTCACGTTGAGCTGGCTCCGCTCATCTCAGCTGTACACGTGTCTTCACTTTAATCGTCCAAACTATATCATTCCTCCTCTGCCTAACTCCACTTGCACAATCCACAAACGGCTTGTCTCTTTAGGAGAAGATGATAACAACATCTTTTACGAAACAATTCACTCCCAAAACCATATGACGAGAGACTAAATGAAGGCATAACAAAACATCAGCTCTCTAAACAGAAAACCAACTGTGCATCTTTATTCCTGAGATTGTTATATTCTCCATGGTCCGTTTTGATACCTTGTAATGGTTTAAAAACTGAAAAATCTTTAGAAAATACACGACATCAATTGTTTGAGATTCAACGTAGAAAAAGCTGATCATGAAGATTTGGATTCGATAATTCCGTGGAACATGTGAGAGTTTAAAAATCAGAAGAGGTTACAACTGACAAGTAGGGATAGTACCTGAGGCGACGACAAAACAATATTAGGTTTTTTTTAAAAAAAAAAAAGAAAAAAAATATTTTGACATATTTTTAAAAATATTATGATAAAAAAAAACAATATTAGGTTTTTACTTGTGTTCTCGTAATAAAGTAGGTCAGAAAATTTGAAATAGTAACTATATCTCACATCGGTAGTTGTAATCGAATATACATTAGGTATTAATCATTCTATTCAGTTGTCGATTGGTGGTGAGTTAGTAGTTAATGGCTCTCAACTCTCAAGGTGGTAATGATTCTAGGGAGGTCGTAAGACTAAAGAACATTTCTATAATGAGAGACAGTAGCAACGCTTCTCATTACCGATTGACATTTTAAATTTATAAAACTCCATATATTTCTTAATTCATTTTTTTCAGACAATTTATATGAGATTAAGATCTTGATTTGGTGTTATCTATTTATATCTTAACACTGCACGTTTTTACAGAAATTTCACCTCCAACCAAATCTTAAGCGTAAAATCATGACACGAGAGGATACAATTAATAGACAGTTTATGTGGTTGACAGAGACAATCATGTAGCATTTCAGAAACTCCACAAGTTCCATGAAAGAAATAATAAACCTTAACCCGTTTTAAACACGAGTTACACCTTATAAAAAATATAAATTCTCAAATTTGTTTTGCTAATTCACATGGCATGATCAATGGATATGGATCTAGCCCATAATTCATCAAACAATCACACGTTAAACATTGCATGAAGTTATCATTATTCCTCAATAACCGTATACATGTTGACATCAATAACTAAACCATCTTTGATCTACGTCTTGAAGTGAAAAAAAAAATTTCATCTTTGAGGCATATATCTCCAGATACGTACCTACTTAATTTTCATATTGGTACGTATCAGATGATAAAAAAATCCACCTCTCATATTGTCTTTTCTATTGTTTTATGTTTCTAATAATGTTTTTGTTAATTCATAAATTCTCTGTCTTGGAAACTGATAGGAGTGTGACAGAAGTAAACAATTTCTTATACTTAAGGAAGCTAATACAATAATCAAAAATTAATTTAAAAAAAAATCCTAATTCAATGTTTTAACATATGAAAGTCAGTCACTAAATTTGAACCAGCTTACTATGAGGAATCTTAGAGCATGTGCAATGAGGTCTTTAATATAGTTTTTTAAAGTTTTGTTTTCTTAATAAACTTAAATAAAAAAATAGCTTAAACTAAGAAATGTCTCTTCTCTTAATTAAAAAACATAAAAAACGTTTTTTAAATACAGATGTCAACTTTTTACAGGTTATTCTTTTTTCTTCTCTCTCCAGCGGATATGTGTCAAAACTTTTTTTATATATATTATAAATTCGTTTTTCTTCTCTCTCTAGACCTTCTCTATCTATAAGTATTAAAAATGAATAACAAACCCAAATGGGTCTCTCTATTGCACATACTCTTAGAACTGAATTTGATGGATCCAAGTTAGAACTTAACTTGTTACGGCGAGAAGATTGAACTGGAAAATTTGAGAGGATGTACTAGACATTGGTAGATTTGTTAGTTAAAGTAAGTGTTGTTTCCTTGAATATGGCCTGATTTTGTGCTTCGATGATGATAAAAATCAATTTAAGAATGGGTATGAGAAATCTTGAATTAGTTTCTATTAGCTTTTCTTTCATATATGTACAAAATTTGTAGCCTCAGTGGCCTAAGATGTTAAGAATTGAGACTCTGTATTTGATCAAAGACTTGGCGAGAGATTCAAGTCCATCTTCAAGATCTTGAATGCATGAGAGCATGATTATCGCACATTTTTTTTAAGAGTTTCTTAGTTCTTTTTAGTATTAAAAATAATGCAAAACATGTGGGACCTATTATAATATGCAAGGAACGTTTCTTAATTGGGAACTATAAAAAACGTTTCTTGTATGTGGGACCCATTTTTAATAGTAAAAAATTATTTAAGAAACTTAAATGTGTATTCAGCGATAAAGATGGTCTGACTCTAGGATCTGAGCATCCTCCATCTTTAATGTCTTCTCAGATTGGAATCCAGAATCAACCCTTGCGAATTCATTTGCTTGAGCTTCACATCAGACCTTTCTCTGGTTCATTAGCTTAGACACCATGGACCATTTTCCAGAAGTCTTTGATCCAGACATGAAGCGGAATAGAGAATCGAAAAGGGCCATTGTAATAGCTTCTGCTTCTACAAACATTGAAAGAGATTCATCGTTGCACTCTTGGTCTTGTTTGACCTTCAAACTCTTGAGAACCTTTTGGAACAACTTCCTGAGGGATCTTCTGGAAGCTAAGTATTTCTTGACCCCTCCCAACAGGTCTCCGCGCTTTCTTCTTAGAATCGATTGGATCTCCATAAGACCCTCTTTCATCAGCGTCAAAGCATCCTTGGAAATGTTGCACAGATCCATGATCCTGAGAGATCCATCAAGAAGCTGCTCGACAACTTTCTTGTTCTGTTCTTGAGCTAGAGCCTTTTGTGTGAGAGGTAGACGGATAAGCTTGTCAAGAGACTCGTGAAGCTCTTGAATGTTGTCAAGTCGTTGGAAGATAGAAGAGCTAGAAGATGTTGAGGCTTCCTCAGAAGATCTCAAATGGGTCAACTGCTCATCGACATGAGCGGCTTGTGGGTGAAGTCTAGAGGGGAAACTGTTTGAGCGAACATGGTAGGAGACTGCCATTTTTTGTTGATCTTAAGCTCTTTGTTATTGATCAAAGAGGAGATGTTTGAGAGAGCTAAAGATGTTTGTTTTACCTTCTCATTGCGTCTCAGGTCAATACATATATATACACCATCAAAAAGAGAGGCAAGAGGAATCTCTCTTGGTGGTTAAAAATATCAAAACCATCAATATAATGTTCTCCTTTCAAAGGTGACAAAAGGCATCATCATCTAATATAAAATTACATGATCTAGATCTCTGTCTCTTAGCCAACCATCCTCACAGCTCAATTCTCAAATTTTCTTGAGATGCGCTTCATTGCACGAGTGAGGAGCTGGCTTGTCTGCTACTGAAAGGTCATGCCATTCGTGCAGATCTCATCCTTATCTTTTATTACTTTATAAGCATAATTTAGTTTCTTTTTTTCCATTTATATGACATTTCATATATTTCAGAAACATATATTAAAACAACTATATGATAAAAGTGGTGGTTTTGCGTAGCGGTAAGATAAGTTTCCGTAGATAAAGGCAAGGGATCAAATCGTGAGGAGGTTCTGATATAGAGATTAATTAAACTTGAAAATGCTGAACAAGTAAAATTTTGTCACCTTTACGGTTATAAAATGGTTCACCATCTAAACTTAATTAAACATTAGTTCTTCTTGGTTAATTTCTAAATTATAATTAATTTTTAATTTTAAAATCTCTATAAATAACCAAACGTAACTAACCAAAGTTTAAAAATTATTTATCCATTAATTTTGACATGTGAATACACATGCAGACTTTAAAAGTTCTTCTTTACTTTACTTTAAAAGGTACATTGTTTCCCACTATATAGACATGAAAAGAGTTATTTATTGTAGAAAACGTGTGAATTTCAAGAAAACGAAAATTTAATAGTTAAGTTATGAGACGAGCAAGATCCATATTCGTCGTTCTTTTAGCAAGTGAAAGCACACAGAGAATTTAAAGTTTCTTCTTTTTAAATTTTCTTGAATCACTTCAAATGTCTCCCATAGGCCACAGTACTGTCAGTACAGATATGAGACATCATAACAGAGTTATTATTGCAGAGAAAGTGTGACATTCAATAATCTCATTAATTCAAGAATCTCCTTAATCAGTGACCTTATTGTGTAATAAATAGTCGAGACAGCGTCAATTAGATGGATTGAACTTAGTAACCTAATTTTTTACCATGAGGTTAAAACTAAAAAATGTGAATTTTGGAAGTGCAATAGTTGAATTGTCTGATTTCTTGTCTCTAGAATGAAACTGTTCTTTGATGATTAAAGAGAGAAATTAAATAAATAAAAAATGATTAGAGTTGAGACTTGAAAAAGTTTCTATTATCTTTTCTCTTCTGTACAAAACTTTTAGGCTTTACTGGCCTAATGTGTTAAGAACTGAGACTCTATATTTGACCAATGACTTTGAAAGTGATTCAACACCATCTTCAAGATCTTGAATGCATGACACTAGGATCTGAACATCTTCTATCTTCAAGGTGTTTTCAGATTGAAATTTAGAATCAACCCTTGTAAATTCGTTTGCTTGAGCTTCAAATATAACAATCTTCTTGTTCATTAGCTTTGAGACGACTGACCATTTGCCCCAGTTCTTTGATCCAGACATGTAGCTAAAGATAGAATCAAACAAAGCAATTGTGACCGCTTCTGCTTCTTCAAAGATAGCAAAAGATTCTCCATCTTGTGCAACCTTCAAAGGCTTCTGTACTTTTTGGAATGTCTTCTTGAGTGACTTTCTTGAGGCTAAATATTTCTTGACCTCTCCTGATAGATCTCCACGCTTTCTTCTTAGAATCGATTGAATCTCCATGAGACTCTCTTTCATCTGCGACAAAGCATCCTTGGAAATGTTGCACAGATCCAAGATCTTAAGAGATCCATCAAGAAGCTGCTCGACGGCTTTCTTGTTCTTGTCTTGAGCTAGAGCATGTTGGGTAACTGGTAGACGGATAAGCTTATCAAGAGACTCGTGTAGCTCTTGAAGGCTGTCAAGTTTTTTACAGATAGAAGAAATGGAAGATGTTGAGGCTTTCTCAGAAGATCGTAAACGGGCTAGCTGCTCATCGACATGAGCGGCTTGAGGGTGAGGTCTGGAAGGGAAACTGTTAGAGCGAACGTGGAAAGAAAATGCCATTTATTTTAAATCTTAAGCTCTTTCTTATTGGTCAAAGAGAAACTGTTGAGAGAACTAAAGATATTTGTTCTGCCTTTTCAGTGCGTCTCCGGTAAATACATATATACACCATCAGGGAAGAGAGGCAAGAGGAATCTCATGGTGATTAAAATATTAAAACCATTAATAAAATGTTACTTCCAAGGTGGCCTTTGGCATCTTCATCATACTCATTATACACAAATAATGGTAAAGATCTCCACCATATCAGCTCAGTGTCTTCCTCCAATTAAGTTTTACTATCTTACAAAACCTATAACCGCGCACTCTCAATAGCTTCTGCAGATTCCAGCTTGGCTTTGTCTCCAGCCTCTGAATATTTGGTGAATATTTATTAGTCTCTCCGTGTTGGTAAGCTTGAGCATCGCACACGTTTGCATCTATTAGTGTATATGATTATACTAATCAAAACAAAGCATATTTAGACAACCGTGATAATCGATGAAGTATTGCTGTAGAAGCAAGATCCGTATCCGTAGATCATGGCATGTCAACGTTTTATTTGGAATATCTTTAATATCACTATATCAGACAATCGTATAGAGGCTCAGAGACGCCACATGATTTGTCGAACAAGTACATGTTGTTTACTCTGCCATGAAAGAAAATATTTCACCACCGAAGATTTAAGAGTCAACTTTGAGGGTAATATATAAGATTGAAAACAAAAAAAAAAAACTTTTTAGGGTTAAACTATTTCAAGGTTCTTTGATGATCATTTGTGAAACAAGAAGGTATATCACAACTCACAAGAACGAGATATATGATATGCTCAAAGTTTAATCCCTAAGCTATTCTGCAAGAACACATATGTGCAGTTGTATTATGTAGGGGTCAAACCACAGAGACGAGATATTCGCTCAACAAAACTATTAGAAATTGAATTACGCTAAGCAGATTAATGAGAAGCAAACAGGATGCAATAAAACGATGCAGTAAAAACGTTTGTAAGATTCAGATGGATGGAGATTAGGTCTAAGGCGTTTCTCAGGAAATCAATGAATGCAGAACAATCGATTAATCAGGGTTCAGGTTTAAGCACGGTTCTTGAACTCGAATCACAAAATTATAATTAACCAACTTCCGTTGTGAGAATTATCTAAGTTAAAATCCTAGAATTCCAAATTCCTTTGCAAACCCTAAAGATTTAAACCAGCTTTAATGCTCAAGTTCAATATGTTCACAAAGTATCTAAACCAAATTCATTTGCGAATAACTACTTTGCTCACCTTAGGTTCTTTCCAGTTATTCAATTACACTTCCGTGTCAATCAATTAACCTAAGATCTAAGTTCTAGGTGGCCAGACCAGAATTAGCTTTAAGAACAACCTATGGTGAAGAACTAAATAGATATGAAACCTAATTAGCCAATTAATCTAACATTCAATGAAATCCTTTATGAGAACCCTAAACCTAACAGACAAATTACTCAGACATGAAGATTGAAGCAATAAACATGAATGAATAAATTGCAGAAAGCAGTAAATAGATTAATAAACAGGGGTTCGAAATCTTCTCTCTCCGGAACAGAGTTTCAGACTTGTCTCCCCAAAAGCTCTCAAAGTCTCAAAGAACAAAAAATAAAAACACTCTCTCCCAAAATCTAAGGTCTCGACATATGGTGGCTAAAACCCTATTTATGACTTAAAAACACGTTTTGGGCTTCTCTGGAAACTTCTGGGCCCAACTCCTTCTTCAAATAGGAGACAAAATCGCGTTTTTCTTATTTCTTCGATCGGTGTCGAGCGTCACTCTCCATGGTGTCGAGCGACACTAAAACACATAATTCATCCTTCACGAATTTGATCCTTGTTTAGCTCCAAAGTGCTCCAAAATCTCCAGTTAAGCTCCAAACGTACCTAAGACCTGTAAAAACTCCAAAAGACTCGAAAAACACTAGAAAGTCTCTATAAATAAGACCTATACCATGGTCAAAAACCATAAAAACCATGATATATCAACTCCCCTAGACTTAGCATTTGCTTGCCCTCAAGCAAACAGAACACCAAATAAGAGAAAGAGGTTTGAAAACACGGAGACTCAACCTTTCATTGAAACATCGCTTTTGACCGATCACCCTGCAACTCAACTACTGCTTCATCATTCTAAATCGAACCACCATGTACTTCTCCGCAGACATTCACAGCTTCCCAGATTAAATCCAAAATTTCACAACATTGTCCATAAACCCCCATCGCTGGATCTCACTGATGATTCCAATGCCAAGAACCTTCTAGACTCTTTCCAGTACTATACTCAAACAAATCAGCCATACACACTTTGGTACTTTTCTCTCCCCCAGACTTATTCTTTTTCGCACACTCATCATCTCTTTTTTTTATGGCATATACACGATAAGGTTAAAGCTGCGAGTACTGATGGTGTTTGCCATCGAGTCCCCGAGTTGTCCCCTTACCTTGTATCAAAGGTTTTCAGCGAATAGTGGGGTCATAGGAAACTTTCCTACCCCTCGCTTCCTTCCTTTGTGTGAACATTCCTACTTAGAAATGAAATAATGGGATCCTTGCAAATTTTCCTAGCCCTTCACTCCTAAGCGAAAATCATCTCAATCTTTTCGCCTTTTTCTTTCTTTTTCTTCACTTTTTTTAGCTCGTCACAAGGGAGAGAGGCACCAACATTAGAATTCATATAGGCTTTCATTTGTCAAGTATGAATGAGGAATCAAGCTCTAGGAACATCAGTCACATCAATGAGGTAAAAAAAAGAGTTCAGAAATTAGTTCAGGTTAGTGGATTTGTTGGAAACATGGACGCCTCTAGTCAACTGATCAGCCTTTGGATTTTTCATTAGTTGGATCTAGACTGAATCTGCAGCAGTGGTCACTTAGATGAAAGGACAGCACAATAATTCCAAGAAAAGCATCGTAATCTCCAACAGATTTTGACTCAAAAACGTTTTGACACGACTGACTTTTAAGAAAAACAAACACAATGTCAGCGACTACCTCTCCCAGACTTAAACAACACTGTTCCCAGTGTTATTTAGCCCGAAGGTGGTGAAACAAAAGAAAGGAAACAGAGAAACGCAGTAAAAACGGAGAACCTACCTGGCTGCGACGATGGTGTCGACCGACACTGATGATGGTGTCGTGCGACACTTGTTCTCCTCGTACCGAATTGCAGCAGACCAATACGAATTTCTGGTTTGACTCCGGTTTCCTGATTTCCTAATTTTTTTTTTTTCACAGAAGCAAGTGGCAAGCGACACCAAGGGTGGTGTCGCTCGACACCAGTCCCTGCTTGACCTAAAACACGAAAACCAAAAACGAATAATCAAAAGAAACAAAAAGACTTATGTACAGACTTACCAGTGGATTGCCTTCCACCAAGCGCTTGTTTTAAGTCATTAGCTTGACTATGGATAGACTATGCATCTGGTGGATCAGACAGTGGCAAAGAGTGCCTCTGTCGTCTCATCCATGGTGGTGTGTAAGCGTTTTGCGTATGAGGCCGTCCAAGGAATGCCGGAATAGCAAAAGGATGAGATCTGTGTTTGGACGGCTTTAACCTATTCCCTGCAATATCATCAATGGAAAAACCAAGTGCTCTTTGCTTTGGTGGAGATGAATAGAGTGAGATGTTTTGAGCTTCTTGATCAACAGCAGTTAGTGGTTCTGTAGACGTTTTCGTCAACTCAGGTTGATCTCTCACTTTCTCAGCATCAAACACGTTCTGATCTCCAAATATCACTTCAGGTATTGCACTGACTTGGAATGTCTGACCACCTATGGTTGAATCCTTCAGCTTCTCCACCTTGAAAGTCATGATGGTATCTCCCAGGTGGAGATCAAGGTTACCATGCTTGACATCAATTACCGCTCCAGCTGTAGCTAAAAACGATCTTCCCAGGATAAGAGGATCTTTGGGTTCCTCTCCATATTCTAGAACCACGAAATCTGTAGAAATTATGCAATCACCAACTTTAATCGGAACATCCTCCAAGACACCTTTTGGGATTATTTTAGATCGATCTGCTAGGATCAAAGAGATCTTAGTTGGCTTGAAGTCAGTCATCCCAAGGTTAACAGCTACAGAGTATGGCATGAGGTTGACACTCGAACAAAGATCACACAGCGATCTCTTGAACCTCTCTGAGAAGATAGAGCAGTCCAAAACAAAGCTTCCTGGGTCCGAGAGTTTCTCTGGAATCTTATTCTGAATCACAGCACTGACTAGTTCAGAAATCATCATCACTCCTTCCTCATAACTCAGATTATTAGTCACCATCTTCTTCACATAGTGTCTGAGAGTAGGAGCAATCTTCACAGCATCAACCAAAGGAATCTCAATCACAAGCTTCTCCATCAAAGCCTTGCATCTAGCATCATCTAACTCCTGCTTAGACTTCTTAGGACTCCTTGGGTAAGGAATCTTAGGTTTGTAGACTCTTTCTTCTGTTGGTTTCGGATTCTGAACAACTTCAGCTTCGCTCTGCGATTGGTGTCGCGCGACACTAGTTGTGGTGTCGCTCGACACCGGCTCTGTAGTTTCGAAATTTTCTTCAGATTCTTTAAACTCCACAATTTCATCCTCAGAAACACCTTTTTTAAGCACAGGAGTCAACTTTTTACCACTCCTTAACGAGATGGCACTGCAGTAATGCCTAGGATTGGTATCAGTCTTCCCAGGAAAGAATCCTTCTTGCCTTTTTACAGACTCTGCAGTTTGAGCAACCTGAGTATCAATCTTCTTAACATGAATGTTCAGAACTTCAATTTTTCCATTCAGATCCAGATACAGAGAATCGATCTTCCCATTGAAATCCACAGTCATCTTCTCTGACCTTCCAAGATCTGTTCCAGCATAGACTTCACCTCATTATCTGGAGTTTGAGTAGAAGGAGAACCATAGTTCCTTGAAAAACTGTTGTAGGAGTAGGATGTCTGGTACTGAGGTTTGAAGTTATAACCAGAAGAGTTCTGATTACCTGTGAAGGTACTCCTCTAATTATTTCCACTGTAATTCATGTTTCCTGGCTGAGTACCAAATATCTGACCCTGAAATCCAGCTCCATTGATGAAGTTAACATCCTCTTCCTCAAGTGTTTCATCTGGTTCGAAATTCTTAACCTCTGCAGCGTATCGGACGGACTTCTTACCCACTAGAAGGCTATGCACAGAGTCAAGCTTAGCCTTCACCTCAGCAATCTGCGATCCATCCATGTTTCCACCCTGCTTCTTTCGCTGATAGTCTGCAATTTTGGTACTATTGCTAGATGCCAAGTTCTCAATAAGCACAACAGCGTCTTTAGGGTATCTGGTATTGAAATTCTCATTGCTTGCAGCATCAAGAGCCATTTGATATCTCCAATCAACACCTCTGAAGAAAATACCCAGCAGCTGAACATCACTGAAACCATGATGGGGGCAATCTCGCTGGTACGACTTGAATCTCACCCAAGCAGCTTTGAATGCTTCAGTTGGTCCCTGAGAAAACGTTGAGATTTTGAGTCTCAGTTCCTCAGACCCTGCATCATCATAGAAATTGTGCAGAAAGACGTTCCTGGTCTCTTCCCAGGTAGTCAGCAAACCTGGTTCCAACTGCTTCAACCAGTTAGCTGCTTCTCCAGCAAGAGAGTATGGGAACAGCTTACAGAAGAGGAAATCATTGGACACTCCATTGTACTTGATGCTGGTGACCAAGTCCTCAAACCTCTCAATATGATCCATCAGGTGCTCATGAGAAAGACCATGGAAAGGATGCTGACCCACAAAAGTGTAATACACAGGTTTGAGCTCAAAATCGTTCCTCTGAAACGTAGGAGCCCGAATCGCAGACCGATTTGCATAGAATTGCTCAGGTCTGTTGTAGTCACTCAGCGTCCTGATGATGTTACCCTCTCCATCAAGTCGCTAGCCTCTCTCATTACACACATGACCATATTGGTCTCTCCAGACTCCAGCATCATCACGAACCAATGCCAATGCGTTCTCCATCTTTTCTAGTTTCTGAGACAAAGAGAAAGAACAATGTAAGTAACAAAGCAAAAATAAAATTAAGAAAAACGATGGGTGTCGCGCGACACCACTAGGGGTGTCGCTCGACACTAAGAAAAACTTAGTCGAAACTTAAGAACTAAAGTCTAATGGCGAAAATCAAGTCCCCGGGCAACGGCACCAAAACTTGATATGCTCAAAGTTTAATCCCTAAACTACTCTGCAAGAGCACAGATGTGCAGTTGTAGTATGTAGGGGTCAAACCACAGAGACGAGAGATTCGCTCAATAAACCTATTAGAAATTGAATTACGCTAAGCAGATTAATGAGAAGCAAACATGATGCAATAAAAACAATGCAGTAAAAACGTTTGTAAGATTCAGATGGATGGAGATTAGGTCTAGGGCGTTTCTCAGGAAATCAATGAATGCAGAACAATCGATTAATCAGGGTTCAGGTTTAAGTATGGTTCTTGAACTCGAATCAAAAAATTATAATTAACCAACTTCTGTTGTGAGAATTATCTAAGTTAAAATCCTAGAATTCCAAATTCCTTTGCAAACCCTAAAGATTTAAACCAGCTTTAATGCTCAAGTTCGATATGCTCACAAAGTATTTAAACCAAATTCATTTGCGAATAACTACTTTACTCACGCTAGGTTCTTTCCAGTTATTCAATTACACTTCCGTGTCAATCCATTAACCTAAGATCTAAGTTCTAGGTGGCCAGACCAGAATTAGCTTTAAGAACAACCTATGGTGAAGAACTAAATAGATATGAACCCTAATTAGCCAATTAATCTAACATTCAATGAAATCCTTTATGAGAACCCTAAACCTAACAGACAACTACTCAGACATGAAGATTGAAGCAATCAACATGAATGAATAGATTGTAGAAAGCAGTAAATAGATTAATAAACAGGGGTTCGAAATCTTCTTTCTCCGGAACAGAGTTTCAGACTTGTCTCCCCAAAAGCTCTCAAAGTCTCAAAGAACAAAAAATAAAAACACTCTCTCCCAAAATCTAAGATCTCGATATATGGTGGCTAAAAACCCTATTTATGACTTAAAAACATGTTTTGGGCCTCTTTGGAAACTTCTGGGCTCAACTCCTTCTTCAAATAGGAGACAAAATCGCGTTTTCTTTATTTCTTCGATCGGTGTCGAGCGTCACTCTCCATGGTGTCGAGCGACACTAAAATACATAATTCATCCTTCACGAATTTGATCATTGTTTAGCTCCAAAGTGCTCCAAAATCTCCAGTTAAGCTCCAAACGTACCTAAAACCTGTAATGACTCCAAAAGACTCGAAACACTAGAAAGACTCTATAAATAAGACCTATACCATGGTCAAAAACCATAAAAACCATGATATATCAATATTATGAGGGAAAAAGTGGGAATCATTGTTTAAATGTCTCTTTTTACAAGTAATTTTATTGTACTTTTTCTACAAAGACTGAGAGAGAGATTCAAGTCCTTCGTCAAGATCTTGAATGCATGACTCTAGAATCTGAACATCTTCCATCTCCAAGGGCTTCTTGGATTGGAACTCGGAATCAATCCTTGTGAATCGTTTGTTTGCTCGTCGCATGTAACTTTCTTCTAGTTTATTAGCTTTGAGACGAGTGACCATTTGCTACAAGCGCCCATGGGACGACTTTGCAGCATGTTGGCGTGGTTTATGGAAAATCCAGCATGGCTTGTCTTTAAGGAGAACTAGATAACACTTCATGCGCCCGCACGAAAAAAATTACTTTTTTAAATTTGATTTTGTAATGTAATTTATATTTTTATAGATATAATATTTTCTAATAAGTAACACAAATTTATTTTTATATTTAGAGAAAAATGAATTTTTTATAAATTTTTTGAATAAATATGATCACGATTATAAAAGTATAATTTTAATCCATCCGTTCTATTAATCCGAAAATAAATACATTTATAAAACATAAGTCGAATCCGTTTTTTTTAGATTATCGAATAATATAAAGATTTACTAATTTTAATATTTAAATTTTTAGACTGATAACTATTAAAAAACTATATAATAACATATTGGTTATCATATTCTTTATTATGAGAACTTTATTTAAACTAGAATATTTAAATATGAACACAATATCCTATTTAATATTATATAAAGATAATTTACAACTGATTGTTGTAATTTTTATAATTAATGTAATCTATGTTTTAAAAAAAATATAAATAACTCAAATTAAAATTTGAATTTTCGGAATTATTTTTAAATAACAAAATAAATATATTTTTATTATTTATCAGAAATAATAAAAATTAAATTAAAGTTTGTTTGGCAACAGAATAATAGTTATTCAAAAATAGAATAGTAGAAAATTAAAAAAAAATTTGTGAACACAAAACATGCTTCTGTTTTAATAGAAAAGATATGATAACATCACTATTCTTGCAATTTATATTCACTTCCGGATCAGCGCCGGCTCAACATTATTATGGGTTCTAGGACAAACAAGTTTTTTGGACCATTTGAATTTATATTTTTAAAGATTTTTTACTAATTTTTTTTATAAATAAACTGTTTCTGTAATGATTTCGTAGAGTTTGGTATTAAAAAAAATCTTATAAAAATATTTATGGGCCCAATTCAATCTAATATTCATTTATTTTTTTATTAAAAATATATAAGAAAAAAAAAATCTAAGCCCTTAATTATTAAGGCACGGGTCGGAGCCTCAGGCCGTCCCACTGCTCACCCTCTCTACTGAGCCGGCGCTGTTCCAGATCAGAAAACACGCTTCATTACACATAGGTTGTTCATAAGAAAAAATAAAGGCAAGTCCACATTATGAAATGCAAAAGAGGAAAAAATTTCTATCTTTTGTTGTTTGGTCTACTAGTAGGAATAATTGAACCATAGTTTCCACCATCCGTGTGTTTACGCATTAAAGAACTTTGACTTGCAAGATTCGTGCTAAAACATTTATTTCCAAAAGATGAATTTGCAAGGTCTCTATTTGAAGCTATTTAAATGTCTTTGACCTTTCTGCTAAAAGATTACATGTATTATAGACATTAAAGTAGTTAGCAGAACATATAGAGATTTGCTAATTCGTCTTAAAATGTAGGACTCAACAAATCTAGGACCAAAAATTATACTTACCTTTCTTGTGAATCTTTTAGTAACCATCATACCATATCACAAACAACTACACTCAGACAAAAGTTTTGTAAGCTTGTTGAGAACATTTAGTCACATCAATCTCAAATCACCAAGAACCTTTAACAAGTCGACAACACAGACAATTCCAAATTATGTTTCATCTTACCCTTTGAAATCTATCAAGAAGGAAATGGATTACCCAGTGCCATGTCTACTAGATTACTACGTATGTGAAACGTTATACGACACCGTTTCATGATAAAATGGAACGTTTTTGCCACTAGGGTTCAACATATGTGGATTTTGAACTACGAGTAGAAGTCATCCCCTTTTTGAATATGCTCGAAGGAAATTATCACCCACGATTCAAAGTTTTTATTATTGGTGTAGTCAAATTCTGCCTTATTGCTATTTGACCATTTCAATATTGTTTCATGAAATTTTCTTATGTTACAAACTTACAAAAGATACATAAAGCTAAGTGAATACAATTGCTATTTCTTACTATGAAGCTAAGCCAAACATCTTACAAGCTCTGTTTTTTTCCAGGTGAATGAGGGTAACATTGAATAGTTAATGACCGTGGCATGAACCCTCAAATGCATTTGCTCTTTACATATCCTAAAAATTTAATAGGTTAACTATTGGTGTAAGATTCTGGAGCCAAGGGCTTATACTCAAGAACTGGTCTGGTCCCCATTCAAGTCCTGGTTTAGGTAATTGAAGCTCTGGTAGTGGTAAGACTCCACATGGCAGTTTCAGTGATGAAGAAGGTTCTTTTCTCTCTGTTTCTCTATGTTTCTCTTCGCTCTTTGCGTTTTCGGTATGCCCTTGAAGCATTGAAATGTCGTTTGCTTCTCTCATGGCTACCGCTTGAGGATAAGGGAAAGAAGTCATCAAGTCTTCCTCTTTGCCAACGAAAGAAATGGTCTCAGAAGACGAGAGAGGAGAACTTGGACATGTTTGGTTCATCTTAGCTTCCATCTCTGCTCTTTGCTCCAATACTTTTAAGGAAGTGGCTTTTCTATATATCTTACACAGCACAACATCCTGTGATTCAAAAGGGAACACAAGAAGATGAGAAACAAAGATGTTTCCTCCTGATGATTGCATATACGAATTTCGAAACAGAGCTTTTGTATTTTTTTTTAAGGTACCTTTGGTAAGGTGCAATTGTCAGGCATCCGGAACTCGTTCATGACCCAATCAGTCTTGCTTCCACCAGGTGCTCTTCCTCTGTAGAACACAAGCGTCTTCTTGAGCCCAATCACACGTTTTGGCTCAGACAAGCTAATGATTTTACGATCGGAACCAGTTGCTTTCCAATAACCTTTCTCAGTTGTCCTGCTTGGTCTCCCTCCGTTTCCATGCTTCCTTTCTCTTGGCACAAAGAAATACCACTCTCTCTCACCCATTATCATCGATAAACCTGTGATTCAGAATCCAGACTTTAACACAACCTAGTAGAAAAAGAAGCTTGAACAGAAATAGAGAAGCCAGCTTAGTACTTACCAGGTAACTCCCATGGATCATGACGATAGATGTTGAGAAAACCAATGACTTCCGCTTTCGATCTTTTCCCGTAAATCATGTTCTTGAGGTAGAAATCAAGCAGCTCCTCCTCGGTTGGGTGGAATCTGAAACCTGGCAGCTCAATCTCTTTTGACATACCTCTCACTGTCTCTAAAAAACACTTATCAAGTTTTAGTTCTTTTTGAAAGTTGTGTAAGTGAAAAAGGTTGTTGGTGATATCACTTAGGTGTTCCAATGCATATATATATATATATATATAAACACTAGTGACCCAATGTAAGGAGCGACTCTTTTTTTTTGTTCTTTGTATGATGGGGCAATGTTTTGAGGTAGCAGACCAAGTCAAAAAGGAAGATGTGGAGGTATGATTTAACATATTGAATTTTTGAAAGTCTTTAGTGCAAATTTTTCTAATGTGTTTTTTTCTTCCACACTTTTAGATGTTTGTGTTGGTATGCTTATTGAGAAGGAGAAGGGTCTTGATCAAAGTGGGTGGAGCCCACGCGCTTCTATCTTAGAAGGGGTCTTGAGGATTTGGACCAGAGCTTTTATGGGGGCACTGTTTTCTTCTTTTCGATTTTTTTTTTATTCTTTCATCAAATATTTAATTATTCTAAAAAAGAATCAAACATTTTAATCAACTATTTTACTGTGTAAAAGAATCAAACATTATCGTGGGACTTCCACCATTTTGTTTAATCGTAGCTTGACTTGGGAAGTCTCCTCCAAAGACTGGAAGTCTTTAGCCTCTGTGGGGACCGAACCTTGAAATCTAATTTTTTTTTTCTACAATCTGATCATGTTCGGATCTTTAACGCAGATTTGTTTAACAGTTTTAACTTAGGTTAATTTTGTAAACTATTTTCCTCTAAATTAGTAGAATAACAAGAAGCTTTTGGTTAATATAACTGTATAACAGACAAAAACCAAAAAAAGAAAAACAAATTACATAAAACGTTTCGTATAATATAAAAAGAAAAATTGTGAAATGACATTATTTCGGGATTTTGTTGTCTCACAAGGGTAACTCTCATACAAGAAATACATCAAAATCCGATCTTCCAAAGATTTTTCACACCTCAATATAATAAACAGATAAGAAAGAACCACAATTTAATACTGTTAACTTTTGAATTCTGCAGTAGTTAAATTATGGTTTTAATTAATAATTAAATAATTTTTTGTTTTGAAAAATGAATTTCTTAATTTCTACGTTTCTAGCTAAAAAAAACTTATATAATGGCACCGAAGGAGTAATAATTAAAAAATAAATAAACTTAATTTTTTTATCACTTGTATACACATAGATGGTTATAGAGATATTTGAGTATTTGATTTTACAAAAAAATATTTTCAAAATTTCAAAGAGTTTAACAGTTGTTGGGAACCGATTTTTGGAATCATGATTCATGATGGTTGATTTTGAAACAGGAATTGTAAGTTGTTAAACTTTTTTTTTGGTAAGCACGTCTATAGGCGCCTCAACTAGAATAACTCTGTATCTTGTTATACTGGGATTTGGTGCTTCATCCTGTCAGCTCCAAATTCAGAAATGCATTCATGAGGCAATAACTAAATTCGAAATTGCCTTGAAAAGAAAAAAACAAGATTAGGACCCTAAAATTAGTTATAGTTTTTCTTTTAAGTTTCTCTTAGTTTTCAATAAATCTTCATACTGTAAATAGATATCTACAGTAAATTTAAAGAAGTTCGAATATTTTTCTTAATGCTTTACAAATTTGCGGAATTAAAAAAAAACCAAAATCATTTCGTTTTTTCTTTTTAACAAAAGAATAAACAACAATAAATAATACTCCCTCTGTTCAGAATTATTTGATGTTTTAGAAGGTTTTTTTTGTTCAGAATTATTTGATGTTCTCACTTTTCAATGCAAAATTTAATGAATTTTTATAGTTTTTGACTTTATATATTCTGCAGATTGTCTTCTTATTGGCTGAATGATATTTAAATGAATTATAAATAATATTTTTAGTATAGGGAAAATAAAAATTAAATAAATCCTTAAACTGTCTGTAAAAACCTTAAATATCAAATAATTTTGAAGAGAGAGTAGATAATAGTAGTGAATAGTGAGTATCGACTAGTGCGGCTAGGAATATAACATGTTAGCAACTTAGTATATGAAAGTTTCTCGGAAACTGCAGAAAAAGCTCTTGCTCTTTTCCAATTTTTGTCTTTTTCACTTCAAGTTCTGAAGTATGAATATCAATTCCACTATTCAGTAAAGGGACAACAACATCAACGAAATTGCCCAAATATGAAGTAGGTTCCTATAGAAAGTTGTCCGTTTCACCAAAAGCAAAACTACCAGACCTTGTGTACATCTCTATATTGTAACGAGGAAATTTTAACCATTAAAGTTATTCATGATTATTCTTCTCAACGATTTTTTTCTTTTGCCGCGTTGATTGGTGGTCAATCAGAAAGAAATAACCACAATGGCTAAGGGTTCACTTTGTATGCCCTTCTTTGGCAAGTTTTGAGACTACTTACTGCGATTTCTATTATCTTGTATGTCCTATATGCCTTTAGTGGCAAGAAAACCCGGAATCTATAGGGTTTGAGTAGTCTGGATTTCGGTTAGGGATACTCAATTACAAAAAGAAAAAAGGGAATAACCACATGCATGAAAAACTAACTTAAGCGACTGAAACTTTTCTGTTTTTTTTTTTTTTTTTTTCAAATCTTGCAAAATAGAGATCTACTTACATATATACATCTTGTATTCATAATTGAGATTCACTTTCTTGTTAACAAATATAGGATTTGTTTGGTAATAGCTGTTACTATTGGCTTTAGAAAATATAGGCTGGCAATTACTTTAAGAATTGCAGGTAATTTTTTTTTAAGATTAATTTACGCTGAACTTAATAAAGAGTTTTAGAAATTTATAAAAAAAAAAAATAGTCAAAAAAGTTTTAAGAAATAGATCTTAAAAAAACAAAGAGATAAAGTTAGTTAGTTAAATTTTGTTATGAATAAACTATATAGAAATCTACAAAAAGTTTTGATAATTTAGGAGAAAGAAGAAAGAGAAATTTTTTTTTTCTTTTACTTTTGTTTTTCTGTAAAAGTCTCTCTCACATAACTATTAGAAACCAATACAAAATAATATATATATATATATATATATATATTTTTTTTTTAAACTTTAGACTTAATAAAAAAATGTATGTTTGGCAAAAAAAAGCTTTCAAAACTGTTAAATACCTTAAAAGTCTTGAAAGTAACCCAAGCAAAGCCAGTAGATATTTTTCTGTATAGACATATGCTAGTTGTTTAATTGTCTGCAATGTATTTTGCAATACAGCAAGAAAGCATACAGTCTTGAAATTAAACTCATTGGTTACACAAACTGTTAAAATTTCATTTCCAATATAAACATTCTTGTGCTCTATGTACTTGGTTAAATACTGTTAAGACCTGTGATCCCAAATGATTAAGGTCACAGCTATAAACTTTCATTGGCAAAGCCATTCTTTTACTGTTTTTCCCTTAGCAATGAAACTACCAATGTTCTTCCGGTCGATCCTCATAGGGCTTCCGGTACGTACCATTATCTTTTTAACCAAAGCTTTTACCGGCGATTCTCCTCTAACGTTGCTGTGCTTTCCTGACCCAGAAACAAGTACAATCTCTGCAGGAACCACACATTTCCCTTCACTAAATCTAATCCTCATCTCATCCATCCATTGCATCATTATCAAATACGATGAGCTCAAGTGCATACCATGTAAATCCAACTTGCCTTCTAACGAACTCCACTCGATGGCTTCATCCAAAACCGATGACTGAGTCAATCCGCGTACTAAAACCTCCTCGTCCTTATTCAGAAAAGTAAGCAGTTCAGAGAGAGAAACCGGACAGCTATCCAAGTCTTTTAACAGTGATAGAATCGTAGGACAAGAATTTAAGACCGAGTTATACGTTCTTTCGGATAAAGGAACATTGGAATCTTTCAGTTTCTGTAGCCAAGAACCCATTTGGGGAAGAGCATTATGAGCTCCATAGGAAGAGAGAACCATATTTGAACATACCGTGTCGATCTTGTGACCTTCTGTTTCCATTCTGTGTACTACTCTGTTCATGTCTTCAAACAATCCTAACCTTCCATAACCGTATAGAACAGACTTGTATTCGAACAACCCCGGCTTTATTTTTGCGATTCTCATCTCCTCGATAACACTTTCTGCATCATGAGGTTGGTCCATGTTGCATAATCCAGAAACCATAGATTTGTAAGCTTGAGTTTTGACATAAACTGATGTAGATCTCCGGGTTATCTCTCTCAAACGAACGCAGGCTTCGTTGAATCCTTGTATTGACCCTTGTTTAGAATTTGATTCAACCAAATTGCAGTAGAAGAGAGCAATGTCTCGTTCGTTTGACTTCAACCTTGAAACCGCATTAGAAAGTAGAGTTTCTGATTCGTGGGATCTTTCTTGTTTATTGAGCAGAGCAACAAGTTCAGCAATGAGCTTGGGATTCCAATCAAACCACGATGCTTCAGTGATTTCCGAATACAACTGGATATAAAGTAATAAAACAAGACAAGAAATCAAAAACCAACTACAAGTTGATGTAGAGAAACAGGAGAAAGTAAGACTCACAGAGAGAGCAAAAAAGGAGAGATGGGGATGAGAAGTTTGAGCTGAGAGGAGATGAGAGAGGACATTGAGAGACACTGATTTGGGGGAAGCAGCCACAAACTTCTTGATGTGGCGGTTTGTCGCCGACGGATCTCCAGCTAAGGCTGGTGAAGACAAGGACGAGAGAAACCGGTGGCCTTGTTTCATCAGAGGCACTGTTCCTGCCTTGCACCGAACCTCCATTGAAGTTCTATAAGTCCATGACACATTACTTAGCCCTTCTCCCCAGTCACTGATACTTTGGCTCAGCCGCTGAGGCGGATTAAAAAGAAACCGTCGCAAGCTGATGTTACTGTTGCTTATCATCTGGTTCTGGACTTTGTGTTTGGACAGCAATGTAAGAGGATAAACAAGTGTCAAGGTTCTGGTAATAACCACACCTGCATAGTGTAGTGGTCAGTATGAGTAAACCCAAGTACAGAACAAGAAACCAACTATTGAATCAGAAACTGAGATCCAATTTCTAAAATTACATAACAAGTAATGCCAAATCCAATTCCGAACAATTAGAGAACCAAATGCTACCCAGAATTAAGAATTCTATCTTACTTCACCAGAAACAAAAAACCCAACTTTCGATTTCATCAAATCAATTAGAGCAATTCAAGACTGAAACACCAGACTCTCTCGTCAATGTAGTAAGACTACACAACTGGTAATCGGAAAAAGGGAAGAAATTTTTAAAAACCCTAGTCACCAAAATCAATAGAATCCCAGAGACAGACAGTGAATTCGATAAAGGCTTTTAGGAGATGAAGTTGAGGCAATTCGGGTTTACCACCATCGAAGGTCTGAATAGGCCGAGAGGGCAGTCTAAAAACCGACATTTTTGACCGGAAAGTATCGGGAGTTAACGACTTTCGCTCTGTTTTTTGGTTACCGTAAATCTCTTTCCAGAATCACTCACTGTCCGTCCATACGTTTCGACTCATCCGCTGCGATGCTTTGAGCGTGAGGCGTGATCACGTACCACACTCTGTCGCCGAAAACCGGACCTCGGTTTAGCAATTTGGTACCGGTTTATTCCATGCCATGCTCACTCTTTGGTTTCTTACAAGGCATATAGACTGAATATTTCATTTTCTATCACAATATTTCTGTTATTGATACAGAGCTCTGTGTCATCTATACATATAATTATAAAATTCAGATGTTAATGATTTTCACATCAGATTCAATCAAAATTGATTTTCACATAGATCAAATTCAAACAAAGGACTTATACTTTGAAAACGAGAACCATGCATTTACAAAGAAAGTTTTTACTTCATACCGCTAAGGTACCACAAGTTTTTTGGAGAAAACATAAGTTTAGATTCTCATCTTTGGGGAAAAGATACAAAGAAAGGATCAATATGTACAAATGCCAAGTTACTGAGAAGATGGACCCGGTTACACATAATTTTTTTTTTAAAAAAACATAAACATTTGCTTCAAACTGTTGTGTCTATGGGTTGAATCTCACAAGTATCAGAGAGATTAACATCTTTATCCGTTGCATACACTCCATATTATCCAAACGTCGTTCAAGACTCTGATGACGTTTCTCCAGGATGATCTTCAGCACGCTGAGACATTATATGATTCACATATTAGCAAACAGCACATATCTGAGCACAATTTAGTGACAATCACCGGAAAGAAAGCAGAAAAACGATAAACGAAGCAGCAGTCATCAAACCCAATGCGTGTTCAAAGACTATTACAAAGATGAGAGATATTGACTGATACAAGGACAATGTCAGAGTTTCCATAGCCACAAGATGCAAAGGAATGGTAGTGAATACACAACTATAAGCAGACGATTCTACACAAACAGTATTTCGGGTGTTGAGAAAATGGAAAACCACTGACCTCATGAGAAGTAATCCAGGGAGGTGGAGGCCAAAACAGCTTTGCATATTCAGGAAGTTTGTGCACCAGGTCTATCTTCCCAGTCCTGAAATCAAATACTCCCAAATCTCGATCTTGTAGCCCACCCAAGTTATCTTCATTGAAGACGTTACCATTGAAGAACACAGAACTTCCCTTACAGAGAGGTATTACATCAGACGCTGAAGCGGTAAAGGTGCAGTCATCACCGAGGAACAACATTTTGTCCCCCATATCCTTAACCTCAACCCAACTCATCTCTCTTTCCACAAATTTGAAGACTTTAAATTTAACAGTTCTCTCATTCATGTAAAACGCATGATTCTCGAAGATCGCCTCGGCGAACCCAGGATCCCCATCAACCTCCTCCATGCTCAAGTACATATCCACCAGCAACATTTCACCACCTGATTCGATTAAAAACTTCTTGTCACCGCCATAGACAGGATTTGCAGCCAATGTGAGTTTCAAAGAAGAGAAATCTACAACCACAGTCCTCCCATTGTTGTCAACAGCAAAGAAACGTCCATCGAACAGAATCACATCATCATAAGGAGACGGCATGTCATGGATCACAGTCCAAGCACGATCCCAAGACGTAAAAACAGCTAATTTCCCAGAAACATGAATCGTAAGCAACACAAATCTGTAACTCTCCGAATCGCTATCTAAGTAATTGACAACAGCTTTCTCCAAGTATAAACTCTCCACAACATCACCGACGGTATTGAAATAATGGAGCTTGAACTCACGACCCAATTCACGAACCTTGAACTTCGACATGTCGAGAGCGCGAGGGAAATGCTCAGGAAGAGAATGTCTTTTATCACACAGAGGATCAAGAACCTTATGAGGACCACCATTAAGGTCTTCCTCGACCTTGACCAGCCATCCAATCAGATCCGCCTCGCTGCTACGCGGTTCATGAGGTTTGATGAGTAAGATACTCGCTGCGGAGAGGCGCTTCCTTACGCGGAGTCGGAAGAGCTAGCACCGTATCGGGGAGGATCCGGGAGGTGATGTGTCTAGTGGATCGAGCACGGGCTCGGCGGCGGATCGCCATGAAGAACAAACGGAACGGAACTGAACGAGATCGAAGGAGGATTCTAGAGATTTGGAGATTAGGTCTAAGAGATCCTTCGGGAGTGTTGCCCAATCGGCCATGGATGGATTGTAAGCTTTTTTCACCTTGAAAATCACCCAAGAGAGAATCTCTGACCCAAAAAAATTGGGATCATATATTGAGTGAGACCAGACCACGCAAAAATGTTAACCCGACCCGGCTTGACACCATTTGACACGACACTACCCGAGTCTATTACGGGTCGATTTAGCCTGCGCTAACCACGTGAAGACTCTTAAGGACTCAGAAGGTTCGACGAGTCTTCTTTCTTGAAAACGATGCCGTTTTGAGTCGAATTAAAATATTGGATCAGATCGGATCATGGGATACAAAACTGCAGAGAGGTGTGGCTCACGAGATCTCCACAATTTCCGCGAATTTTTTTTTTCATTTTGTCGGATTCAACACTAGAAATTGGATTCTTCGTGGTAGATCAGAGAAGAGAGATTTCGTTGATGGCTACCATCGTCGTCTGCGACGGCGAAGTAGAAGGTGGAGGAGGAGATGTTGACGGTTGCGATGGCGAGAGAAGCTTGGATCTGTTACCGGCGGCTCTGTTGGAGACTATCATGACGAAACTCGACGTTGCGTCTCTCTGCTCGTTGGCATCGACTTGTAAAACACTTAAGAGCTGCGTCACTCGTGTCCTCACCTTCACTCCCAACTTCCATGTCTTCGTGAGTCGAGCGATCTCTCTTTATTCAATTGATCTTCAGTGTTTTGCTTTATTGCATGAGTCATGGTAGTTAGTGATTCTTAAGGGTTTCCTGGGATTTGGGTTTTCTATTTCAGATTGATGCAAAAAAAAAAAGAGGGAAAAAGTTTCTATTTTGATCTCTGCTACTTTGGATTTTTGGGTTTCAGAATGTTTCCTTGTCAATGGAAACTGTTAGGCCATTGTTGTTTCCGAATCAAAAACTCTCAAGCCTCAAGCTTGATTGTGGACGGCTTGGGAATTCAGCAATTGACATATTGGTGAGGCCTTCTCTGAAGGAGATTTCTCTTCAGAACTGCCGGGATTTCAGCGGGGATCTGATCTCTGAAATTGGAAGGAAATGCAAGGATTTAAGGTGTGTGTATGTCGTGTGTGTGTGTGTGTGTGTGAATGTGTGTTTAGTGAAGCTTTGATGCATCTGCTTTATGGGGAATATTTCTTTCCACTGTTCTTCTGATGAATTGGTCAATCTTTTTTAAAAGTGCAGGCTCCTCTGTTTGGGTTCAGTGGCAGAAAAAGTTGGCCGAACCATTAGTCGTTGTGCTCTGGAGGATTTACTGAATGGTTGCTCGCATTTAGAGGTTTAAATCCTTACTCTTTTGACCTTAGTAGAGAATGTGATGTTATCTCTTCTAGCACTGATTGTCCTAGGTAATGTAATCATGACATATATGCTGTCTTGGCAGGTCTTAGCACTCATGTTTGACCTCTCATTGTATCTGCGTCCTGGTGATGGTCGCATTTTTGGATTGGTTTCTGATAAACTCACACATCTGGAGCTTGGACACATCTCGTCAAGGATGATGACTCAACTACTCACATCAACTGAAATGTCGGGGCAAGATAGCAATCGAGTTTCATCTACCGTGCTCCAGAATGTCCAGCAGTTACGCCTCTCTGTGGATTGTATTACCGATGCTGTGGTTAAGGCAATATCAAAATCTCTTACGTCGTTGATAGATTTGGACCTAAGAGATGCACCCCTTGAGGATCCAAGGCAAGTATCAGACCTCACGGATTTCGGGCTTCAGGAGATAAATCAAAATGGTAAGCTGAAGCACCTGTCTCTAATCCGTAGCCAGGAGTTTCACCCTACTTACTTCCGGCGAGTTAGTGATCAAGGAATGCTTTTTCTTGCTGACAAATGCTTGAGCATGGAAAGCATCTGTCTTGGTGGCTTTTGTCGGGTAACAGATGCTGGTTTCAAGACTATTCTACACTCTTGCGCTAGCCTCTCCAAGTTTAGCGTATATCATGGACCTAAACTGACGGATCTTGTTTTCCATGACGTCTTAGCAACTACTCTATCGCTTAGTCACGTTAGCCTGAGAAGGTGCCATCTCCTTACGGATCACGCAATTCAAAAGCTGGCGTCGAATTTAAAGCTGGAGAACCTTGATTTAAGAGGGTGCAGAAACATCAGGAATGAAGCTTTACAAGCCATCTCTGATCTACCAAAACTGAAAGTTTTACTTCTTGATGGCACTGATATAACCGACACAGGGCTTTCATACTTGAAAGAGCGAGTTTTGTGCTCCCTGGTTTCTTTATCTGTGAGAGGGTGCAGAAATCTAACAGACAAATTCATGGCCACTTTATTTGACGGATCCTCAAAGCTAGCGCTGCGTGAACTCGACTTGTCCAATCTTCCTAATCTGACAGATGCTGCCATTTTTGCTCTGGCCAAATCCGGAGCTCCGATCACAAAACTCCAGCTAAGAGAATGCAGACTCATAGGGGATCCCTCGGTCATGGCTCTTGCATCTACACGGGTTTACGAAGACGAATGTCCAGGAAGTAGCTTGTGTTTGTTGGACCTTTATGACTGTGGTGGCATCACACAACTCTCATTTAAATGGCTAAAGAAACCGTTCTTCCCGAGGCTTAAATGGTTAGGGATCACAGGAAGCGTGAACAGAGATATTGTAGATGCTTTGGCAAGGAGACGACCTTACTTGCAGGTCTCTTGCCGCGGAGAAGAGCTGGGGAATGATGGAGAAGACGACTGGGACTCTGCAGACATACACCAACACATAGAAGCACAAGAAGACGAACTTGAACAGTGGATTCTAGGAGACGAAGGTGATGTTGAAATGGAAGATGCAGAAGACGAGAGTGAAGAAGACGCAAGTGAAGAAGAAGACTGATAATACTGAAACTAATACTTCGGTTAAGAGGTATGCTATTTCATACGTATTCTAGCTATCCGTATAAGCTATATATGTAACACCAATTTTCTTCATATTTAGCCACTTTTCTTTAGGTTTTAGTTCTTGTAATGATTTTTTTTTTCCTGAATTGTTGTTGTTGTTGTTGTTGTTATTGTTCTAATCATTTTATATTTCTTAAACTTTACTTGATTATTTGAATTAAGTATATCTAGTGAGAGTGTTGCGTTTATGTCGTCAAAAATTTAGAGTTGGATAATAGAAATGAAATTACTGAAGTTTTTATTAATCGAAAATAATCGAACAGCTGAAATTCCTTACATAAACATTACATCGCATGTGATTACACGTAACGTTTATTCATAATCAACGTAAGTTTTTTTGTGCCATGTATCATGACAAGCGCCGAAGTTTCTGTTTCCTTCTCTAAAAATTCGTAAATCTGTTTTTGTTTTTTTTTCTCTGTCTTTTCACTTTCCAATGGATTTCAGAAATTCCTTCAAATCACACAGCTCGTATAAACAGATTCGAAGCCACGGAGAGGCAAGCCCTGAGCACCGTCCGATTCTCCACGATCACGCCATGGACCAATCCAAAACAGAGAGCTCTCGTTCTAGCCTCGACGATGGCCGAAACGCACCAGTGGAACGCGATTCAAGCTACAAGTTCTGGCAAGAAAACGCCGATCACACCACCGCTGCTCCTCGAACAAGCGTTAAAGATCCGATCGCTATTAACCGGAAAAGCGGAAGATTAAGCGGAAGTTTCGATTTCTCTCAATGTGGATCAGGTAAGCCGCCGCCGATGGAGGAATCTCCGACGAAAATGGCCGGAGGAGGAGAACACCGACAATGGGGAGGAGGAGGAGGAGGAGGAGAGATCACACTCGATGTTGATCAAGAGAACGAGGACGTGAGTCACCACACGCAGCCAACGCCTACATCAACGGCTCGAACATCACTCGACGTATCGAGAGAAATGCGAGTCTCCTTCAACGTTCGACGAGCCTGTACAAACTTAACCGGTTCGGTTCCTTCTTCTTCCACTACTCCTTCCTCTTCTTCCTCTTCGTCCGCGACATTGCGGACGAATCAGGAGACGCAGCAGGAGCAAGACGAGGTGGTGAGATGCACATCGAACATGTCGTTTCAGAGGAAATCAGAGCTTGTTTCGAGAGTTAAGACGAGATCAAGGCTTCAAGATCCGCCACGAGAGGAGGACACGCCTTATTCCGGTTGGAGATCGGGTCAGTTGAAATCCGGGTTGCTTGGTGATATCGATGAAGAAGATGATCCATTAGCAGATGAAGATGTGCCTGATGAGTATAAAAGAGGGAAACTTGACGCCATAACATTGCTCGAGTGGCTTAGTTTAGTCGCTATCATAGCTGCATTGGCTTGTAGTTTATCGATTCCTTCTTGGAAGAAAGTTAGAGTTTGGAACCTTCATCTATGGAAATGGGAAGTGTTCTTGCTTGTTCTTATATGTGGGAGGCTAGTTTCAGGATGGGGAATCAGAATCGTTGTCTTCTTCATCGAGAGGAACTTTCTTCTGCGAAAACGTGTTCTTTACTTTGTATATGGTGTGCGAAGAGCTGTACAGAACTGTCTCTGGCTCGGGATGGTTCTTCTCGCTTGGCATTTCTTGTTCGACAAGAAAGTACAAAGAGAGACAAAGAGCAAGTTTCTTCCTTACGTGACCAAGATCTTGGTGTGTTTCTTGCTAAGCACAATCTTGTGGCTAATCAAGACGTTAGTGGTTAAAGTTCTTGCCTCTTCGTTCCACGTCAGTACTTACTTCGATAGGATTCAAGAAGCTCTGTTTAATCAGTACGTGATCGAGACGTTATCTGGTCCTCCAATGATCGAGATGAGCAGGATTGAGGAAGAGGAAGAGCGAGCGCAAGAAGAGATATTCAAGATGCAGAACGCAGGTGCTAATCTACCGCCGGATCTTTGCGCGGCCGCGTTTCCACCGGGAAAATCCGGGAGAGTGCTGAATCCTAAGCTCTCTCCGATCATACCCAAAACATCAACTGATAATGCAGGAATCAGCATGGAGCATCTTCACAGGATGAATCACAAGAACGTTTCAGCTTGGAACATGAAGAGGCTTATGAAGATTGTGAGACATGTCTCGCTTACCACATTGGACGAGCAGATGCTTGAAACCACATACGAAGATGAATCAACCCGTCAGATACGTAGCGAGAAAGAAGCTAAAGCAGCTGCAAGGAAGATTTTCAAGAACGTGGCTCAACGTGGGGCAAAGTGTGTTTCTCTTTTCCTTGTGTGTTTCTTTATTGAGTTAACCTAATGTACTCATATATCTGAATTGAACTAAAAGGCACATATACTTGGAGGATTTGATGAGATTCTTGCGGGAAGACGAGGCGATAAAGACAATGGGGCTATTCGAAGGTGCACCAGAGAACAGAAGGATTAGCAAATCAGCTTTGAAGAATTGGCTGGTAATTGTTTTTTCTGCATAGAAACTTATCCTCCAAGATCTTCTGTTTGTGTATATATATCACTCCGTTGTTGACTTTGATTAGGTAAATGCTTTCAGAGAGCGAAGAGCTCTTGCACTGACACTCAACGACACCAAGACAGCTGTGAACAAGCTACATCACATGATCAATATCGTCACTGCCATTGTCATTGTAGTCATATGGCTTGTCCTTCTCGAGATTGCTTCCTCTAAGGTACTTCTCTTTGTAAGCTCACAAGTTGTACTCTTGGCCTTCATCTTTGGGAACACAGTCAAGACCGTTTTCGAGTCCATCATCTTCTTGTTCATCGTGCACCCTTACGATGTTGGTGATCGTTGTGAGATTGACAATGTACAGGTAAAGAAAAAAAATATATGTTGCACCTCTTGATGAATCTAACTTAACTGGCTAACAAAAGTTTGTTTGAAATCCAGTTGGTGGTGGAGGAAATGAACATACTTACCACAGTGTTCTTGAGATATGACAATCTGAAGATTATGTACCCGAATAGTCTTCTTTGGCAGAAATCAATCAACAATTACTACCGTAGTCCGGATATGGGAGATGCAATCGAGTTCTGTGTCCACATTACTACTCCTCTTGAAAAGATCGCCACTATCAAGCAGAGAATATCAAAGTAAAAAACACAAACAAACACTTACCCTTAATGCTTATATGCTCGTTTTAATACATTTGAAAACGATTTGCTGATCCTTTTCCTAATGGTTATGTAGCTACATCGACAACAAGCCAGAGTATTGGTACCCAACAGCCAAAATCGTTGTAAAGGATGTCGAACATTTGAACATAATAAGGCTAGCAATTTGGCCATGTCACAGGATTAATCACCAGGACATGGCTGAGAGATGGACAAGGAGAGCTGTTTTGGTCGAGGAAGTGATTAAGATCCTCCTCGAACTCGACATTCAGCACCGGTTTTATCCACTTGATATCAATGTCAAAACAATGCCTACCGTTGTCTCAAACAGAGTTCCATCTGGCTGGTCACAAAACCCTGTCTGAATCTGATGAACAAGCAAGGTGTTATGTTTCTTTTGGCTCTCAAAATGAGAGCAAAAATTAGTCAACAATTTTGTAACCAACAAGCATTGGTTTAAATTAAATTAGTTTCTATACAAAATTTTGACCTTTTGAGGATTCATTGTTCACCATTTTATCTCTGATACCCACAAAGAGTTCTACACCAATCATTCATTGACTCTACTCTTACATGCTTTTAGGATTAGGGAACAAAGTAATCAACACGCTTAAACCTAATCTCATCCATTTATTGAATCATTACTACCCAAAATGAATCAAGAGTTTCATAAGAAGAAGAAATTGTGTCACTTTTGTTACCTGTGGCTTCCATTTTATGAATTATATTATATTCATCTCATCAATTATTTTTGACATCAAAACCAAAAGACAAACAAAACTCCTTGTATTTACCTTTGTTTACAATATTGATTCAATATATTGCAGTTGAAATTGAAAAAAATGCGTTCATTCGACATCAACCTTGAAACACACATGATTCAACAAATCGTTATTGTCTATTTTGAAACCTAAGATTACCGACAAACTATGGCTTCAAATCATGATGATTCAGTAACTTCTAAGTATAATTGGAGAAAAATAGAGATAAGAATCAATATAAGTTCAAGTTTTGACGTTAGGAACGAGGGAAACATAAATACCGTATCAGGCACGCAAGGTGTTGACAAAATGGCTAGGGCAAGTGTTGTGTTGTGTAACTTGTGTTGGGTGTTGATGTTAATAAATGTGCCCACCCTAAATAACGAAAACCATCAGAACCAAACTTAGAACGTGAGATGTACACAAACATTGTATTAAATTTAGTGATCGTTTGTCAAAACACAAATTAATTGCTGCTATATTAAGACTTAATCCAACCCATGGAGGTTATAAAAACTCCTAAACAGTTGAGTAACAGAGGATTAAAAAAAAAAATTAAAAAGCGATTACACACACCTAAAAACTCATAACTCTTCTTGTTAACTATAACGTAAACGTTTGTTCACAGATTCACAAATTAGCTTCAAAGTTTTTGTTTCAGTTTCTAAACATTCTTAATTCTCTGTCTTTTTTTCTTTTGATTTGAGTTTCCAATGGATTTTCGAAAGCCCTTTAAATCTCATAGCTCGTACAAACAAGTTATAAGCACCGGAGATAAAACCGAGAAGAAGAAGAAGAAGAATGAACTCCCGATTCTTGACGATGAGGATCACATTAACCACATTGCCAAAATCCAGAGCTCTGGGTCTAGCTTCGACGGCAAGAATGCAGCCATGGAACGAGATTCCAGCTACAACTTCTGGCAAGACATTGGAACCGATGATCAAGCACGAAGCCAGAAGAGCGGGAGTTTCGATTTCCCACAGTTTCGTGAGGAGGTCACACTTGATGTGGATGAAGAAACAGAGGAAATCAGCAACAATAACACACCCGCCTCGGGGCTAGACGCTTCGAAAGATACGAGAGTCTCTTTCAAGATCAACAGTTCTTCAGGTACCAACAACAACTTGTCCGGTTCGGTCCGTTCTTGTACGTCCTCGACTTCTTTTTCTTCCGCGACTATGCGGATGAATTCAGACCAGCAAGATCAGGAAGAAGAGGTAGTTATAAGATGCTCATCGCTGAGGAAAACAGAGCTAGTCTCAAGGGCGAAAGCAAGATCGAGGCTGATTGATCCGCCTCAAGAAGAGGAACAACAGTATTCAAGTTGGATGGGGACATCAGATCAGTTAAGATCCGGTTTACTTGTGAGACAATCAAGTATCGAGGAAGAGGACGATTCATTGGCTGAGGAAGATGTTCCAGAGGAATATAGAAGGTCTAAAATGGATGCTATTACGCTGCTTCAATGGCTAAGCTTGATCTCAGTCGTAGTTGCATTAGGGTTGACTTTAGGGCTTAAATCATGGAGACATACGAAACTTTGGAAGCTTCACTTGTGGAAATGGGAAGTTGTCTTTCTTGTTCTTATCTGCGGGAGGCTGGTTTCGGGAATGGGAATCCAAATCATTGTCTTCTTCATCGAAAGAAACTTCCTTCTGAGAAAGCGTGTTCTTTACTTCGTGTATGGCGTGAAGACGGCTGTTCAGAACTGTCTCTGGCTAGGGCTGGTTCTTCTCGCGTGGCGTTTCTTGTTCGACAAGAAACTAGAAAGGGAATCACAGAGCAGTGTTTTGGTATTAGTGACCAAGATCTTAACGTGTTTCTTGTTGAGCACCATCTTGTGGTTGATCAAGACACTGGTGGTTAAAGTTCTAGCTTCTTCGTTCCACGTTAGTACCTACTTTGATCGGATTCAAGAAGCTTTGTTTCATCATTACTTGATCGAGAAGTTATCTGGACCTCCGATGCTTGAGCTAAGCAGGATCGAAGAAGAGGAAGAGCGAGCGCAAGAAGAGATATTCAAGATGCAGAAAGCAGGAGCCGATTTATCTCTCGACATATGTTCTGCCGCGTTTCAGCCAGAGAAAAGCGGGAGCGTGATGACCGGCGTGAAGCTCTCTCCGATCATCCCAAAGACTGGAACTGATAATGGAATCACAATGGATGATTTGCACAGGATGAATTAGAAGAATGTTTCAGCTTGGAACATGAAGAGGCTAATAAAGATTGTTAGAAATGTTTCTTTGACTACGTTAGATGAGCAAGCGCTTCAAAATACATCTGAAGATGAATCCACCCGACAGATACGGAGTGAAAAGGAAGCTAAAGCAGCTGCAAGGAAGATTTTTAAGAATGTGGCTCAACGTGGAACAAAGTGAGAGTCTACAATCTCTCTTCTTTCTTTAACAGTTTCTTTCAGTTTTGCTAATAAACTCATATCTGGAATGTTAAAAAAAGGCACATTTACCTGGAGGATTTGATGAGATTTTTGCGAGCAGACGAAGCGATCAAGACAATGAGCCTCTTTGAAGGTGCATTAGTGACAAAAAAGATCACCAAATCAGCCTTAAAGAATTGGCTGGTACATAGAAAAATAATTTTTTTTTTTAAAGATTGTGCATGTGTGTACATATATGTCACTCTATTTTTTTGTTTCTGCATAATTAGGTGAATGCTTTTAGAGAGCGAAGAGCTCTTGCGCTAACACTCAACGACACCAAAACTGCAGTGAACAAACTCCATCATATGATTAGTTTTCTCACTGCTATTGTCATTGTAGTCATATGGCTTATCCTTCTTGAGATTATCACTTCCAAGTATCTTCTCTTCTTAACTTCACAAGTTGTACTCTTGGCCTTCATCTTTGGGAACTCACTCAAGACCGTCTTTGAGTCAATCATCTTCCTCTTCATCATTCGCCCTTATGATGTTGGTGATCGGTTATTGATCGATAATGTAGAGGTACTAAAAACTAAAATGCATGTGTGTTTGAGTCTATTTAGTGAATCTCAGAGGCTAATTTACAAAATATCAAAATGCAGATGGTGGTGGAGGAAATGAACATTCTCACCACTGTGTTTTTGAAGGCTGATAATATGAAGACTGTGTATCCAAACATTCTTCTCTGGCAGAAAGCAATCCACAATTACCATCGTAGTCCGGATATGGGAGATGAAGTCCAGTGCTGTGTCCACATTACTACTCCTCCTGAAAAGATTGTCGCAATCAAACAGAGAATCTCAAGGTATAAACGTGCATATTGTTCGTAATTAACGTCATACAAAATTAGGACAGTATAATGGTGATCGTTTTTTTGTTTGTTTTAAAACCACAGCTACATTGATAGCAAACCAGAGTATTGGTACCCGAAAGCCGTTATCATTATAAAGGATGTGGAAGATTTGAACATATTGAAGTTAGCAATATGGCTGCGTCATAAAATTAATCATCAGAACATGGGAGAGAGATACACAAGAAGAGCCTTGTTGGTTGAGGAAGTGATCAAAATCCTACTTGAACTCGACATTCAGCACAGGTTTCATCCGCTCGACATCAATGTCAAGACCATGCCCACGGTTGTCTCGAGTAGAGATCCACCTAGCTGGTCGCAAAACCCTGCTTCTGAGTAATGGAGCGGCATGGTTTTATTAGATAGGTGTTACATGAGTCTGCGTTTAAGAAAAAAAAAGTGGATATAATGATATTATTTTGAGTGTTAAGTCATTTTTGTTATCTTAAAGGGGAACGAGAGACATGAAGTTATGTTTTAGTAATGAGGGTGTTTATGTACATATGAAAGTGAAAGCAAAGAAGTAATATTTTTCAGTTTTTGAGTGATGTTTTGTTCTCTATAATTAATCATTTGTGTTATGTTATGAAATGCTAATACCAATTTGATGTAGCTTGATTGTATTCATTGGTGTTTTTTATATAATATATATATAAAATATATATAAAATACCAATCCAAAACAGAGAATTCATATATAAGATAGATACAATAAACCAGAGTCACAAAAGTTGGAAAAACAAAAGAGGCATTGGATCTCTGGACAAATCTTGTGATTATGTGCCTCTGAGGTTCTCTCTGTTTGTTGTTGAGATCATTTGCAACTACGTCTGTCTTGTACTGTAATGCTTTTTCACCAACGAGTTTCAATATCCACAAACAAATTAACATCAAAACAAAATAGAACTCAGACTGTCAATAGCAAGAACTCATTAGACACTACCTCCTAGGTAGCAAGTGTGAATCTTTGAGAAAGATGAGACCTTTTGTGTGAAAAATGCTTTTCTCGTTAATTTACAAGGATGGCTTTACAAAGACTTATATAGAGACTATAGAAGGATCCAGAACTAGGGTATCTTATCTACAGGTTACAGCTGTAAAGATGTTTTAGCTAATGCAGACAGATTGGAGAGTCTCAAAACGGTTTCGTAGCTGGAGCTTGTCTTTACTCTGCATTTCCTCTTTTGCAGGTACGAAAGAACAGAGTGATGACGTCTCTGAACTCTTGCAGTTGGGCCTACTCTTTGGGCCTGTCTTCTGGACATGCAGAGTTGGGCTTGGGTCACTCACAGCCCCCCTCAAACTCGGGGTGGTTGACTCGGCAACACCGAGTTTGAATCGGAGATCCTCGAAGGTTTTTCGCGGCAACGGCTTCGTGAAAATGTCAGCAAGCTGCATGTTCGCCGGAATATGTTTTGTCTCAATCAAGCCCAAGGCAACTTGTTCTCTGATGTAGTGGTAGTCTGTATCAAAGTGTTTCGACCTGTTGTGCAGAGCAGGGTTCGTACTTAAATACACTGCAGAGAGATTATCACACCGGAGCAATATCGACATCCGTTGGGTAATGCCGAGGTCACGAAGCAGAAAAGAGAGCCAGTTGAGTTCCTGGGCAACTGCAGTAAGAGCTCGATATTCCGCCTCAGTCGAGGATTTGGACACCGTGGCTTGACGCTTAGCGGACCAAGAGATGAGATTCGAACCGAGGAGAGTGCAGAAACCAGTCGTCGACCGTCTCGTCTCCTTACATCCTGTCCAATCACTGTCACTGAATGCAGTGAGGTGGAGGTTCGAATCTTTTTGGATATGAAGCCCAAGTCTGGTCGTTCCTTTGATGTAACGGAGAATACATTTGAGGAGACCAAAGTCAGAGATTGTCGGGGAATGCATTCGCTGACAGACGTAGTTGACAGCATACTGAATATCCGGTCTTGTGATCGTGAGATACTGTAGTTTTCCAGCTAGACTCCGAAAATATGTAGATTCTGGGAATAGCTCTGTATTTAGATCATCAAGACGTTGAGGAAGAGGTGTAGGCATCGGATTACATTCCGACATAGATGCTTGATGCAGGATGTCAGTTGCATAAGCTGCCTGATGGAGAAAGAGTCCCTGAGGTGTTGTCTCAATTTCAATGCCCAGAAAGTACCGAGGGGCTCCGAGATCTTTCATAGAGAATCTTTGATTGAGACAGGAGAGGAGGTCTCGGAGGAGAGCATCATCACTTCCTGTGAGGAGCATATCGTCGACATAAAGCAGAAGGACCATGTATTGACCGTTTTTGTTGTAGGTGAAAAGTGATGGATCAGAGTTGCTGCAGATGAAGCCAAACTCGATAATATATGCACTGAATGTGTCGAACCAGGCTCGAGGTGCTTGTTTTAAGCCATATAGAGCTTTGGTTAAACGACATACATGAGATGGCTTGTTGGGATCAATAAAGCCTGGAGGTTGTGTCATGTATACTGGTTCCTTTAGCTCACCATGGAGGAAGGCATTGGAGACATTGAGTTGCTTGATTGTCCAGTCTTTAGCAGTGGCGACATCTAGCACAATCCAAATAGTGGCTGTTCTGACAACTGGACTGAACGTTTCCAGGTAATCCAGACCTTCTTCTTGATTGAACCCTTTAGCGACGAGTCTAGCCTTCAATTTGTCCACTGATCCATCGGGTTTGCACTTAGTTTTGAAGACCCATTTGCAACCCAAGATATTCATATCCTCTGTAGGGGGTACCAGATCCCAAGTGTGAAGCATGTGGATGATGTTCATCTCATCAAAGACCGCAGCATTCCAACCAGGATCCAGAGCAGACTTTATCGTTTTAGGTTCCTCAGTTGCAAACTTAGAGGCTAAGAGGATGTACCTAGTATTGGGCTTATGGATACCAGCCTTAGCTCTAGTTGTCATCGGGTGATTATTATCTTGTTGTTGCTCCTGTTGTTGTGGCTGTATTATAGCCCCTATTTCTTGTTCCTCTTGAGCAGCAGCAACATATTGTTGTTGTTGGTGAACAGGTAGTGGAACTGGTATCTCTGGAGGAGCAAGAACCCGGACAATCTGAGGGGAAACCAGAGAACAGGGAGGATTTGAATTGGATTGCCACGCTTTTAGGAGAGGTGTGTCATACTTGGGAATGAACGACTGATATTGATGTTTGAATGGGAAACATTCTTCATCAAATACCACATGGCGAGTAGTGTAGACTCTGCCAGTTGGAGGATATAAGCACCGGTATCCTTTTGAATGAGGGCTATATCCCAGGAAGACACATTGTAAAGACCTTGGGTCAAATTTGTTGTTGGCATAAGGTCGTAGGCATGGATAGCAGGCAGCTCCAAAGACTCTGAGCATGGTGTAGTCCGGTTTTTGCTTCAGCAAGTATTCATGAGGACTTATATTCTGCAGAACTGTAGACGGAAGCATATTACTGATGAATGTGGCCGTGTAGAAGGCGTCTACCCAGTATTTGAGAGGAGTGTGGCTGTGAAACAACATTGAGAGACCAAGTTCCACCAGATGTCTGTGTTTCCTCTCGGCGATCCCATTTTGTTCTGGTGTGTAAGGGCATGAGATAAGATGCTTGATCCCATGTTTAATAAAATGTTGTTTTAGCTGTGTATTTGTAAATTCTCCACCACCATCACTCTGAAAAACCTTTATCTTAGTATTGAATTGATTTTCAACCAAGTTCTGAAAGCCCACAAACACAGAGTTGAACTCGGACTTAGCTTGCAGAGGATAAAACCATGAATATCTAGAACAATCATCCACAAAGTTAGCATAATATTTAAACCCTTGGTTTGATACAACTGGTGAAGGCCCCCATAGATCACAGTGAACTCGATCTAGAGGATGCAAAACACGAGAATTTGAAGAAAAAAACTGCAGTTTAGAACTCTTCCCCATCTGGCAAGGCTCACAAACGAGGGGTGTGCTGCTCTTATTGATTTCTATCTCCTTGCTGTTCTTGAGTAGTTGGAGAATCTTCGAGTTTGAATGACCTAGACGATGATGCCACACCAGTTCAGAAGCTGCACGATGTCTGTTTGAGTAGAGGGCAACAAACTCTGGACTCTCCAACACATAGAGACCATCACGCCGAGTTCCCTTTGACACCACTTTCTGATTTTGGAGGTCAATCACACACACCTTCTTAGCATCAAAGTAAAATCCACAGGGATAATCATCACACAATTTGGATACTGATAATAGTGATTTTTGAATATCCGGACAGACAAGAACCTCATTCAAAGAGATCGTACCTGAGGGTGATGTCAAGGTAGTAGACCCAACGTGAGTGATGGGTAGGTATGTCCCATCGGCAACCAGAATGGTGTCATTACCTGCATAGGGTGTGGCGTTTTGAAGACCAGAGGTAGAGGCAGTGACATGAGCAGAGGCTCCTGAATCAGGATACCACTCTTTCCCATTTGCATCAGAGACTTGCAGAGCCGAGAACGCTTGA